TCACAGTTAAAGACGACAGAAAAGCATCATTTCTCCTCCAGAGGACTGAACTCGGCTCGCAGCCTCTTTCCTGAGCCTCTGGACTTGAACCAGAACCTCCCCGAGACCCGACGTGTTCAGAGCTCCTCTGTTCGGCTCACAATGGGAGCAGCTCCGCACACAATCGGCTGCTTGTGTGATTTGTTTCTGCACAAGTTCAGACTGTGAGCGCTGAGACGGCCGCTCGCTGCTCGGCTTCTCTCCTCTGTGGAAGCCATCAGGAGACGTGGAGGCCTTTGTTCCCAGAGGCTTCCTCGCTCCGCTGACGCTTTGTTCCTGGAACACTTTCAGCTTCACACAAACGTAGATTCTGGCCCAGAAACCTCGGACTCGTCTCCCCGTTCGTCATCCTGCTGCAGTAAATCCAGAGCAGGAGGTTTCCAGGTTGTAAACAAAGCCCAGGAACTCAGACGAAGGGAATTATTTTTATTTAGACGCAACCTTCTGGCCTTGTTTCCTGCTCTGTGTCTTTACTCTGAGGCTCATGACTCACAGTGTGACTCAATATTCAGCATTTTCCAGATATTCAGTATCAACAGAAGTCTGTCTGTGGAGTCTGTAGTGACGTCCTGCCTTCATCTGATTGGCTGAACATAATGAGTAACAGCCAATCAACACTCTAGGATGAATATTAAGACTTTCTCTTTATAAATAAATATAAAACTAAAGCCTAAATAAACCAAGTTTTGGCATCAGGATTTTCCTTCTTACTCAAATGTCTGTTATTTTGCTCATTGACTGTTGATAAGAATCCACCAGTCGACCCTGAATGCCCAGTCCAAAACCATTCAGTTGCTGGTTGTTGCTGGGAGGACTGGTGTTGCTGGTGTTGCTGGTGTTGCTCATTCATACTGGTGTTACTGGTTAATGCTGGTGTTACTGGTTGATGCTGGTTGTTGCTGGTGTTGCTGGGAGGACTGGTGTTGCTGGTTGATGCTGGTGTTGCTGGGAGGACTGATGTTGCTGGGAGGACTGGTGATGCTGGTGTTGCTGGTTCATACTGGTGTTGCTGGTTGTTGCTGGTGTTGCTGGTTCATACTGGTGTTGCTGGTGTTGCTGGGAGGACTGCTGTTGCTGGTGTTGCTGGTGTTGCTGGAAGGACTGGTGTTGCTGGTTGATGCTGGTGTTGCTGGTGTTGCTGGTGTTGCTGGTTGATGCTGGTGTTGCTGGTTTTGCTGGGAGGACTGGTGTTGCTGGTGTTGCTGGTGTTGCTGGGAGGACTGGTGTTGCTGGTGTTGCTGGTGTTGCTGGGAGGACTGGTGTTGCTGGTGTTGCTGGTTCATACTGGTGTTGCTGGTAGATGCTGATGTTGCTGGTGTTGCTGGGAGGACTGGTGTTGCTGGTTGATGCTGGTTGTTGCTGGTGTTGCTGGTGTTGCTGGGAGGACTGGTGTTGCTGGTTG